AGCTGTCTGACGTTCCCATCTGTACCGCCCCTTGATGACGTCGGTGTGACGAAACCGGTTGGGCGTAGCCTATTTGATGTGGACGTTAGAGAGCCTTGCTGGTCTGTGCTGTATGGGAGAGATCTGCGGTGAGCGTTAACTGTATCTCAACCCTTTTTTGCAATTGAAGCTGGTGTCTGTTGGACACCTTGTTTGTGAGTTTCCTTATACCTTTTTTATTAAAGAGATAAATGAAAAAAACGTATTGCACCATTATGTTCTCTTTTTTGTCCCTGAGTGTACTGCATGCTGTAATGGAGGTATGAGAAAGAGTGGAGAAGTTCATCATAAGAGCTTGGGCTGCAAAGTTGTTTGGCTGTGATTATTATCTGGAAGTATCTGAAACATCACCATATCTATTTGGACATCGGGTTCATTGCTCCCAGAGCACAAGCGCTGTTGCTGGTTTATAATCTGACCAGCCATTAGCTCTGGTGAGTTTATTTAATCTCCTTTGGTGGTGGATTTCTCACAATTGGTTCAAGTCACTGAAGATATATATTTTTTTGGACACTAATTTATGTTTGGATACTATAATTTATTTAAAACACTAATGTTTTTTGGATGATGACAAACACTTTTGTGTAAGTTTGTTATTAGCGCATACCTTTTAATTTGGATTATTGTTGCCAAAATTTATTTTGGGTGGGATATGCTGCTGACACTTTGGTGTTTTTTGTAAGTGGCGCTTTTTTCTTTTTTTATTTGGTAGAGATACAGAACGGTTAGTAAGGTGGATGAGTCTGGCAGCAGCATTCATGATAGACGAAAGAGGGGATAGACTGCGATGAGGTAGGCTAATGAGGAGGGAGTTACAATAGTCAAGGCGAGATATAACAAGGGAGTGAATAAATTGCTTAGTAGTTTCCAAGGTTAGGAACGGTTGTATCTTGGAGATGAGGTGGAAGTGAAGTCTACAAGATTTGGACAGTGAATGGATTTGGGACTGAAAGGACAGATGGGAGTCTAGGATTACACCTAGTACCCTGGCATGAGGGGAGGGACTGATGACTGTGTTATTGATCTTGATGGAGAAGTCAGGGGAGGGGGCACGGGCTGAGGGGAATACTAATAGCACAGTTTTGGAAAGATTGAGTTTGAGGAAGTGGAGTGACATCCATGCCGATATGTCACTTGGTAGGTTAGTAGGAGCATGAGTGGCCTGCACAGAGTTTTGACCCTAGCCCTACTAAACTGGAAAACAACTGCAGTCAAGTCTTCCAGCCCAACATCAGTACCTGACATCATAAATAGTCCTTTGGCTGAATGGGCAAAAATTTCTACAGACAACATTTTGTGGAAAGCGTTCCCAGAAGAGTGGAGGCTGTTCTAGCCACAAGGAGGAAGGAAGAATGTCTACTACTATGTGTGGCTTTGGAATGGTGTCTGCAACAAGCTCATATAAGAGTGATGGTCAGATGCCCACAAACATTTGGCATTATAGTAAATAATGCATATACGTAGATTCCGCTCAACCACAGCAAAGGGAAACCCAGGAATAGTGCTTTAAAAAAAACTTCTTCTCTAAAGCCCTTGCACAGTAACAATCAGTAAAACATCTCAGATAATGTGACCTGGCACATGCTGACATATAAAACAGAAGTCCGGCTAAATAAAGTAAAATAAAATGAATTGCCCCTTAAAGACAAAAAAAGAAAAACAGCCTCTGTCATTTTCTTCTGCATCTAGATGTCGTCAGTCTGATGGACAGCATCATTTCACCCACTTCCCTGCACCCAGGTTACCAGGTATCCTGGACCTGCCTCAGCCTATGACTGGACAATGAAAGCAGCCGAGCAATGAGCTCATCTCTCTGTAAATGTTCTTTCTCCTTCTATCAGCATGCTTCTTGTCAGCACATAAACTGACTAGCCCCTTGTGCTGCCTCTCACTCCAATCCTCCTGCAAACGGCTGATACCAGGTCAAATTCAGCTTTTATTTAAAAAATACATTCAAAGATGTATGAATGATTATAGAGCTACACTAAATTGTGTCTTTTATATCTGGCTAGAGTTTAACTTTAAGTGTCAACACAACATGCATGAATAATAAAACCGCCTCACAAATCCAAATCCATAAATTTGCAGTAAAAAAAAAAAAAAAAAAAGAAAAAAAAAAAAAAAAGAACCTTCTGCATGATTTTCCTTGCTCTTTTTATTTGCTTGATGTACCACTGGGCAGCAGGAAGGGAACAGTGGGCTGCCCGTAACAGCAAAAGAATTCTCTGGAGAACCCCAGATAGCTTCTGCCGATTCTGTTTCTCCATTTGTAAAAGCAAATCACTTGGGTCATCCTTTAAAGAAAAGAATAAAAAAACACAAGTAAGGTCAGACAAACTTTAAAACAGGGACACATGGAACAACATGAAAGAAGTCAAAGATCACCAGGCACAGAGTCGCCTCCTCACACCTGATTTAAACCTTTAATTGCCATATTACCATGTCCCAATTGTGTGCATTGCACAGCAATCATAGATTTAAATCAGGAGCTGAGGAGGCAACATATTGCCTCCTCACCACCTGTTAGACAGGCTCGTATCGCTTTTCAGAGGAGCATTCAGGAGTTTTGGTGCGCTTTCAGAAAGTGCACCAAACCCACAGGATATAATAGAAGTCTATGGCTCACAAAACCCACAGGAAAGCTGCACCCGTGGTGTGGGTAAACCGCAGCACATTAATGTGAAAGCAGCCCTATACTATTATGCCCATATTGCTACACACTGATCTGAAAATCTTTTCTTTCCTGCTGCTGGCACCACTCTGGAGACCATTAGCCGGGATAAAAGTTGAAGTGCAGTTAATATCACTCCGCATGGGACAGGAGCCGGCACTACAGAGGAGGCATTGGCTTATGTGGCCCTTGCTCCCTACTTAAGCTCCAATTTTACAAATAGTCCCTCTACATTGCACTCTATTTGATGCTGTGGAATGGTGGGTCAGCAAGCATAGACCGCGATCTACCAGTCACCTGGCCACGATCTACTGGTAGATTGCGATCTATGGGTTGCTGACCCCTGCTTTAAAAGAATCTAAGTGAGTGATTACGCCAGTAATGGCTTCCAAACAACAGAAAGTCTGGGCATAGGAGACAATTCAAGTCATCGTCAGTTTCTGATTTCATTCCTAAGCCTAAAAGAAGTGGAATTCACTCAGGGAACCAAATGCTCTCTACTAAACCAGTGTGAACCACAGTAGGTCCTTTTAAAAACAGAAGATATCTATAAGTCTCTCTTTCATCAGATCCAAAAGATAAGAATTGTGTTCCTCATGTTAGGATAGTAGGCAGACACATGGTAAGTTAGATTTACAGATATCTTCTGTAGCCCCAGATATAAGCAAATGGACCAGAATTGTGGATCTCAGATCCTGCCTTATTGCCTTGCTTTATTCACGTGTGCATTGGTAGTAAAATATGACTTTTAGATGTAATACTGTTGAAAACCAAAAAGGAGAAAACACCATTGCTAGACTCCAACATGCAGTTATCATATGCAACAACAATAATATAAATATCAAATAACACTACTCTAGCCATGCCCCCATCGTAAGACCATTTATAGTACAATAATATAAAAAATACTAAAGTATAACAACCTTCATAAAATCCCACCCATCACATTCCCTGCTTGAACTAGAGCTTTCCTTTGTTCAGATTTGAAGGTTATAGCAATCCATCTTCCCCAGACAGTCCAAGTTACTGTCCTAAATAAATAGAGCCATGAGAGTGAGTCAATATAGTCAAAAGTGTATGTACACCGGTCAGCCATAACATTAAGATGATCCACCTAATATTGAGTAGGTCCCTCTTTTGCCACCAAAACAGGTTTGACCTGTTTTGGTGGCAAAAGGACTCTATTAGACCTCTGAAGGTACACTGTGGTATCTGGCACCAAGCTGTCAATAGCAGATCCTTTATGTCCTGCAAGTTGCATGATGGGAACTTGTATCGAACTTGTTTTTGCAGCACATCCAACAGATGCTCGATAGATTGAGAGCTGGAGGATGTGGAGTCAACACCTCAAACTCACTGTTGTGTTCCTCAAATCATTTTTTAACCATTTTTGCAGTGTGGCAGGGCACATTATCCTGCTAAAAGAGGCCACTGCCATGAGGAAATACCATTTTCATAAAGGGGAGTACTTGGTAAACAACAATATTTAGGTAGGTAGTATGTGTCAAAGTAACATCTACATGAATCTCCAGGACCCACGGTTTCCAAACAGAACATTACCCAAAGCATTACACTGCCTCTGTCAGCTTGCCATCTTCCCATACTGAATGCCGGTGCCATCTCTTCCCCAAATAAGTGATGCACATGCACCCAGCCATCCACATGATGTAAAAGAAAATGTGATTCATCAGACCAAGCCACCTTCTTCCATTGCTCTCTGGTCCAGTTATGATGCTCATGTGCCCACTGTAGGCACTTTTGGCTGTAGATATGGGTAAGCAGGGGCACCCTGACCAATCTAAAACTACAAAGCCCCATACACTACAAACTACGATGCCCATTATTTATGCTTTCAGCACATCAACTTCAGGGACAACATGTACACTTGCTGCCTTCTATATCCCACTGACTTTCAGATGCCATTGTTATGAGATAATCAGTGTTATTTGCATAACCTGTCAGTGGTCATAGTTACGGCTGATCAGTTTATCTTACAGCCTTACTACAACTTCTTTACATTTACTAAATCTATGTAAGAGGAGGACCTACCTAAACTATCTTTTCTATCTGTATCCAATCAGGCAGGATTACACACTGCATTGATGTTGGTAAATCTAAAAGATTGTTTAATCAGATTGTACAGATGCGAGTTGAACTTTGGAATAAGTAGGGTTCAGAAAGGACAAAAAGGACAAACTCTTACTTCGCTAACTGATGATGGCTGGGGGCAGTATAATGGTGGTGCTGGCAGGTAGAGACGCTCTGGAACAAGACCCGGCAGCTTCCCGATGAGCTCTTTGGCTGACTCCATCAGTTGGCGAAGGGTTTCGGTAAGAATTTCTGCATCTGCCATTACAGCAGCTTTTAACATTTCCTGCACTGAAGTGAACAGTATATCTGCATCTTCTTCCTCAATAGGATCTGAAAAGTGCCAGCATTAAAACAAATTTACATTTTTTATTTTTCCTGGTCTTAAATGTGCTAATCGCTTTAATGAGGAAAAACAAAGAACAACGATCAGCAAGGTTTACTATACTGAAATCGATGTAAAACTCACTGGTTGCTTTACTGAATAGGCCTTCCAATCACCTAACACTGCACCACAAGGGACACAATTTTTTGCTTTATTTACCTGGCTCCTGATGCTAGATGAGGGCCCCACACAAACCTTGGGTGCATTGTGCTGGCAAGATCATGAATTATGTTGAACAGTAAGGTGAATGTTTGGGAGAGAAAAGGACAACAGAACTGCAGTGGCATTAGACACTGCCCACTCGGTCCAATTTAGCCCTATGGAATGTAAGCTTTAACACCACTAAGATGCCAATGTGCAACAGCCAACTGCTCTGGTATTTTACACTCAACTATGCACACCATGGCCTGTATTTTACAGAAAAATTAGCAATCCCTTTTTCTGTGCAAAAGTGAAAGAATAAAGTGGATGTAAGCATTTACAAATACCCACTGAATTGATTAGCCTCAGGCGATACACAGATATGAAACAAATCCTCTGACAAGTTATTTCTGTTTATCTGGATCCCTCTCTTCCCAACACCCTTCTAAAACACACAGCTCAAAAACTATTTCTCAGCTTCAGCAGGCAGGGGGTGAGAATCTGATGCCACACACTGCACAGCACAGAGAGGTGAGCTGAACGCAATCTGAGACCCAAGTGGAGAGAAAGAACACCCCCCCCCCCTCAAAAAAAAAAAGTCTCATAAAGAAACATGCACAGCTGAGGCTGTCAATCACCTTCTGTGAGCTGGGGGGGGGAGCAAAAGGCATGGCCATCTCCCGAGATTCTGTGGTGTCGGGATAACCTGTCAGAAGTGACTAGTGCAGACAGCAGAAGGAAGAGAGAGGAGTCAGAAATCACACTCCGTGCTTTGGATTAAGGCTAGTACACACTAGAGGGATATGTACTGTGCGCAGCCATCCCGAGAAGTGTGCTCAAAATGACAGGGAGGAAGATTGTTAGTAAACAAAACAATCTTCCCTCCCCTTCGGAAGATGCTCGGTAAGCACCGGGCGCCGGCGGGTAATTACCGGCCAGGGCCCGGTGACCGACATCCGCTAATGGCAGCGCGGGTAGGGTGCGCGCCCCTTACCTGGAAATGCAAAATCACGTATATATAAGTGATTTTGTGCACAGCTGCTGGCATGTAGCAGTATATCTGCTATAGGGCGGCCCTTAAGCGGTTAAATGTACTTTGAAGATTGGCTGCAAAACAATTTCCAGCATAATATGCAACATTCTGCATAGTTTGTAACCACTATAAATGCCTGTAATAAATTAACATTGATTATTTTTACCCCACACATTCAGGACTGGGAATGACACAACCCAGTCAATGTTTCCTCTCTTTTGAAACAACTATCACAAACTCTAAGTTGTTATGGTACCACTAAATCATCCTTCTATTCTTGTAAACAATGGCACATCACCATCAATAAGGTGCTGAACATAGAAAGATGTGTGACTGTTATGAAGCAAACCATTCAATGGAAGGCACTACTTCGTATAACTACTTTCTAAATATTTAGGCAAATATTTGGTACAATATGAATGTAGGGCAATAATTACCAGTAAATTGTTTTTTTCCAGTGTGCTTCTTGTCCAAGCCGTCTAAAGATGGAGGTTGGCCAAGAAAGGACTGTAACTTCTCTTGGAAAATGTATCCTGGGGACAGATACAAGGGCATGGATGGCAATTTTTCTTTATTTCTGAAATGTAAAAATTAAGCTTTTAATAACAAATGTATAGTCATTTCGATGCTCATTTCACACATATATGTAATAGACATTAACCTGGTGAAAAAAACCTTAGTATCAAATGTAATTCTACTCAAACATTCACCTTCCTTCTTTGGAGTGCTTAAAGAGGAACTTCATCCTCCAAATGCAGAGCTTGTGCTCTTCTCTCCAGCCTCAATAAAAAAAAAAAATTGTCTGTTTATTTTTTTGTTTTCCCCCGCTAAATAGATATCAATAGATAGATAGATATCAATAGATAGATATCAAACATGTCAAGCCTTCCAGCGCACTTAGTGCATGAGCATTAAATCATTTAAATGGCCAGAATAAATTATTATTGTGGCCAATGAAATGAATAAATGCCCAAACTCTTGATGCCTGTAAATGCACCTAAACGCTTGTAAAAGCGTTAGACACTTTTACAAGCATCAGGCATTTTTTTCTGCCAAAACGCTGCTGCCAAGAGGAGAAGCAATTTTATAATGTTTTGTGTGCATAAGGCCTTAATGACTTCAGCACTATGAAGCTTTGTGGGATATGTATGTCACATATTCCAGGATGCTTCACTTTCACTCACAGAAGCCAGAGAAGGGTGGGCCTGATGCGTGTCGTTAGGAGGACGGGCTGCCTGAATCAGGAAGAAGCATCCAGAACCTGATGATGTCAGGAGCAAAAATGGTGACCCTTGGCACATGCTGTGACAGAGGCAAAGCAGGTCACAGCAGGACAGTGCTTAATCTGCTAGGCAGGTGAGTATATGAATTAAGGACAATAATATATTACAGGTAAGACGTGGTTAAAAAGGAAGTGGGGTGGAAAAAGTGAGGGTGGTTTGCTGCAGACCAAAGTTCTTCAAATAGCAATGTTATAGTGTGCTGCCCATTGGCAAACTATTTTTATTGCCTTACAGCACTCAACTTTTAGCTGCAGAAGCCCCACGTAACTGATAGAATCCCACAGAATACAAGATAGGAAGTAGAGACATTTTGAGGAGGGGATGACATTATAAATATTGTACAGTGCTCAGCAGAAAGGAGTACACCCCTTTTGAAAAGTAAGATTTTAATCAATATCTTAAAGAACAACTTCAAAAATTTTGACAAAGCTGAGTTTTATAGAACATTTGCTCAGCTCATTACATGAAAGTAAGGTTAACAATAGATTACAAAATCTTCAGTTTTACTTAAATTAGTTGATGCAAACATGAATACACCCCACACCAAAAAACTACTACATCTAGTATTTTGTACGACCTCCATGATTTGTAAGGACAGCACCAAGTCTTCTAGGCATGGAATGAACAAGTTGACAACATATTGCAACATCTATTTTTTCCATTCTTCAAGAACGACCTCTTTTAGGACAGGGATGCTGGATGGAGAGTAATATAGTTACATAGCTAGTCTGGCTGAAAAAAAAAGACAAAAGTCCATCCAGTTCACCAAAAAAAAAAAAAAAAAGTTATATTCCTATACCCACAGTTGATCCAGAGGAAGGCACAAAATCCAGCAAAGCATGATCCAATTTGCTCCTGCTGGGAAAGAAAATCCTTCCTGATCCCCCGAGAGGCAATCGGATATGTGATGCTCAACTTGTCTCTTCAGAATTCCCTATATGTGTTCAATTGGGTTCAGATCAAGAGACATACTTGGCCACTGAATCACTTTCACCCTGTTGTTCTGCAGAAATGCAACAGTGGCCTTTGTAGGTAAAAAAAAATGTGCATTTACTATTTTTTTTGTTTTAGGAGCCTGAAAAAAGCATTGCACCAGTGATCAGCAGATCACTGGTGCCATGCAAGTCTCCTGCAAACTGTCAGTGGAATTTCTCTTCCCGTACCTTGTACAGGCAGGCAGTTTTACACTAACAAGAAGAATCAATGAACTACCACAGTGCTCAACAGTGCCGTGGTATTTCACTGAGAAAAGGCTGTCGGGACTTGTAGTTTTCCATTCACTTAACTCTGTGCATGAATTAAATTTTTTTTGAAATTGTGACAGCTAGTGGGGGGAGAAGATCTCCCACTAGCTGTCACAATGGGGGTTTGGGGGATTGTTTCGGTAGGACAGACGTCCTACAGTAAGAGTGAGAGGCCAGGTCCTACAGTAACATGTTACAGTGTCTTACTGTCCTGAACATGGGTGTAACATGTTATGAAAGGTGAATTTATCCTTTAAAGAAGATATTGTACAATTACTTTTGGCCACACACTGAATTTAGGTAAATATTGTTTTGGGTAAATAACCTCATTATATTAGAGAACTTACTCCTCAGAAATGCTCTTCAAATGCAGATTGTAGGCCACTGCCATAGAAACAGACATCTTCCAGTCTCCCAGCTTATTCGCCAGCCATGCAGCTTCTGGAATCAATCCGCCAGTCAGAAGCAAGTCTAGAGCGTACTCTACTGTCCAAACACTGGAAAGGTTCTGATCTCTGACAGCACTGGCAACTATGTTGTGCTGTAATGTAACGACTCTGGGAAACTGATCTGTGAATTATGCACATAAAGCATTAGCTCTACTACAAAACCTTGAAGTTGAGTAATTTGTCCCAGTATACATGATACAAAAGAGAACTAAAACAACTGTCTAGTACATGGTGCAACATAGTAATGTCACAGTTCTATAATGTAGAAACAGGGAGTCCACAATACTAACAGAGATGAAATATCCATGATATAACCACTGATAACCATTATTGTAAGACTAACGGTGGTGGTCAGAGGATACGCTGAAGAAAAGCTTATGTGTACCTTTTGGGGGATGGGAGTGATGATGTTTATAAGGAAGCAAAAAGAGGGACAGGGAAAAAGGTGGTAGAACAAAAAAGGAAATAAAGTAGGGGGAGAAGGGAAAGCTTGAGAGAATAAAGAATGAAAAAAGGTGGAATTGAGGATAAATGGGTAGGGGTATGGTGGGTATTCAAATGTATATGATTAAAGGTCTCACTCAAGTATATGTAATTGGCATTTGGATGCTCATATTCTGGTGCTGAGAGAGCAAAGTTCGCAGGCAGATAGTGTGTGATCCAGGGGTCCCAGATTGCAAATCTTTTTCTTTACATTTATTTTACATTTATATTAAAATTCCTGTGGTGGTAGTTGTCAGGTTGGTACATTTCATCAATTGTGTTTATTGCCCCTTATTGCCCCTGACAAATTCTGACAGTGTCATTTAATAAATGCAAAAAAATGTGACATAGAAATATTAAGACTTACCTACTATAATATGCAGAGGTGCCAGAACACAGACATTGTGTGGAGGGAAGACATACAGCAACTGGTTAGTGAAATATGCAGCCATGAATCTCCCCATAGATTGGATAACAGCCAGTGCTGCTTCTGGGTGGATCTTTTCCAACAGTTGCACATCAGATTCCTCACCATCTAAATACACAAAAAACACAGAGTTGTCAGCATTGTGTTCTACAGATACAGTAATTGAAAAAGGGCAAGCAGGGATCTTACCATGCAGAGTCTCTGCAAGCAGATCTGATCGAATCAGCAGCACCTTCACCAGCTGGTCACACAGGCCTTGTGCATCATTTAAATTGTAGTGATATAAGTGACAGTAAAGTATTGCCAAGTAATAACGAGTCTGAAGTAACCCAGCTCGACTTCCTCCTACTCCACAATACAAACATTATTTAAAAGTTACTTCAACATGACAAAAAACATCAACCAATATGTTTATAAATGCCCTTAAAATGAACTTTACCCATAACAACTTGATAAAAAATAATGTTGTAGGAACATACATTCCACATTAATAATTATGCTACCAAAATTAGTGTGTGCTGTAAATTGCCTCCAGCATTGCTCCTGTTTCTCCTTACTGAAGTCTGCCATTTTGTTGAAGCCCAGAGCCCCTGAACAGCAATAAATCATAAAGCGGAACTAAACCTATCAATTTAACAGTTTAAAAACCGGTTATATTCCTGAAATGCAGAGATTGCTAGCTGTCATATTTGCTAGTGTCCTCAACCAAACTGTCAAACCATCAAATGGCTGTGGTCCTAACTGATCACATGTGCAGTACCATGGCAATTGCTGATCAAAGAGAAGGTTTTTCCTTGGCTGTAAAGGATAGGAGGGTTTAGTTCCGCTTTAAGGCTGTCAGCAGATCGGCCTCTACAAATTCGGCAGTGCCTAAAAATGGAGAGCAACTGAGCATGGGCAGAACAGGGAGACACAGTCTACTACTGGATTTAAACCCCTTCGTGCCTAATGGTAAAACAAATCTTAACGCCCAAGCACAATTTTGGAACTTTGACAAGTGTTAGCAAAATCGTACATATCATCACAACTACTTTGTGCATCCAGGTGGATTATACACTATATTGCCAAAAGTATTTGGCCGGCCTGCCTTTACACGCACATGAACTTTAATGGTATCCCACTCTTAGTCCGTAGGGTTCAATATTGAGTTGGCCTGCCGTTTGCAGCTATAACAGCTTCAACTCTTCTGGGAAGGCCGTCCACAAGGTTTAGGAGTGTGTCTATGGGAATGTTTGACCATTCTTCCAGAAGTGTATTTGTGAGGTCAGGCACTGATGTCGGATGAGAAGGCCTGGCTCGCAGTCTCCACTCTAATTCATCCCAAAGGTGTTCTATCGGGTTGATATCAGGACTCTGTGCAGGCCAGTCAAGTTCCTCCACCCCAAACTCACTCATCCATGTCTTTATGGACCTTGCTTTGTGCACTGGTGCGCAGTTCTCACAAAGTTGGGAGCATGAAATTGCCCAAAATGTCTTGGTATGCTGACGCCTTAAGAGTTCCTTTCACTGGAACGAAGGGGCCAAGCCCACCCCTGAAAAACAACCCCACACCATAATCCCCCCTTCACCCAATTTTACACTTGGCACAATGCAGTCAGGCAAGTACCATTCTGCTGGCAACCTCCAAACTCAGACATGTCCATCAGATTGCCAGACAGAGAAGCGTGATTGGTCATTCCAGAGGACACATCTCCACTGCTCTAGAATCCAGTGGCAGCATGTTTTACACCACTGCATCTGATGCTTTGCATTACACTTGGTGATGTAAGGCTTGGATGCAGCTGCTCAACTATGGAAACCCATTCCATGAAGCTCTCTACACACTGTTGTTGATCTAATCTGAAGGCTACATGAAGTTTGTTGGTCTGTAACTATTGACTCTGCAGACAGTTGGCGACTTCTGCGCTCAGTGTGCTTCAGCATGCGCTGACCCCGCTCTGTCATTTTACATGGACTACCACTTCATGGCTGAGTTGCTGTTGTTCCCAGTTGCTTCCACTTTGTTATAATACCACTAACAGTTGACTGTGGAATATTTAGTAGCAAGGAAATTTCACAGATGGAATTATTGCACAGGTGGCAACCTATCACGGTACCACACTTGAATTCACTGAGCTCCTGAGAGTGAACCATTCTTTCACAAATGTTTGTAGAAGCAGTCTGCATGCCTAGGTGCTTGATTTTATACACCTGTGGCCATGGAGGTGATTGGAACACTTGAATCCAATGATTTGAAGGGATGTTCCAATACCTTTGGTAATATAATGTACCTTGTTTTTTTTCAGGACAATTGGGCTTTCATTTGGTGGTAAATGGTAATGGATATCTCCTGAATTTTGTTTGTATTACCAAAAGGAAAACAGGCCCAAATTAGTAAAAAAAAAAAGCTGTATATTTCTTGCTACTACCATAACCTACCACCAAAGAACAACCCAAAATAATTTCTGCTTCTGACTATTGCAGCGATACCTCATGTGTATGTTAGTTGTTGTTTGTACCTGTAGTACTGCTCGGAAACAATAGAGCGCAATTTACTTTTTATTTTTTTATACCTGCCACTAACTAACACTGATACTAATTTAAAAATTAAAAAAAAAACCCTGGCCAAAAAAAAAAAAAAAAACCTAACCTTGACCCAAACAATAACCCTGGCACAAACCTTGATCTAAGCATTTTTTTGTATTTTTTTATTATTAATTTTTTTTTTTTTTTTTACAAACTTTTTTTCCTCTCTCTGCAAGGACAGAGATATACAATGTAACCCTCTCTTTCATTCAGAGAGAGAAAACAAGGGGGTGGGGATGGGATTCACAGTGACTGATCACTGGAGTAGCCAATCAGAGCCTATCACACCAATCAGGTGACACAGAATAGTGAGTTTCCGGTCCCGATCGTTAGAACAGGACCTGAGGCTCTCAGTGACACCCTAGTCTTTGTGCTTGGAACGCGCCAGCAGAAAAACAGGTACGCAAATTAGCAACCCAACCGAAAAAAAGCCCAGTTCTGTGAGGCCGCTAATTTGCCTGCAGCCGTCATCAAGGAGTTAACCAGTAGTCACACTTATTTTTAATGTTTTAAATAGCTATACCTGCAAATGGGGCCAACATGAAGTGATCTAGCAGGACATATTTTTCTGACTAACACTCCACTTTAAAGTGTTACTAAACCCAGGACTCTGCATTCACTATATCTAGTCTTCCACAGAACATGGCAATACAATTATTTTAGTAAGTATAAACTGCTAAATACCTTTTCTCATCAGCAGGTTAAGCAGACTTGTGACTTCTATCAGTGTCCTGCAGAGCACTGGTTAAAGCTTGGGAGAAGGAATTTTCATTCTCCTCTTACTGTCCTATGATTCTGCAGGACCCCTGACTGCACAGTGCTGATTGGCCCTGTGCTGACCACATGCACCCTCACAATAAAAAGAAAAATCATTCTAGCAATACACACTAAACTGAGCATGGGGACTGTGGAATTAGGGGAGGATCAGAGAACACAGGATCAAACATTCTTTTTACACAATGCAGAGAATTAACCCCTTAAGTTCCACAGCATAACAAGCATGCTTTACTGCATATACAGATTGATCTTACTGTTGTACGTTTAGTAACACTTTAAGAACAGTTAGCCAGCAATGGCACAGAGGCAATTTTTCTGACTCCAAGTCCTCTGCAAGAAACATTGCACAGATGGCTGACTGACATCGACTAGTAAAAGAACTTACAGTTTTTTTATATTTCAATGTTTTTTATTAATTTTAATCAGTATAAAACAGAGGCAATAAAACACGCACCCACAGGGGCTATCAATTGCACCGATAAGAAAAAACATAATAGAGAAACAGTGCTCTAACTCCAACAAGGCAGAAGGTACGCCCACGCAGGGGCTATCAATGGCACATAAGTTACAACAACATTAATGAAATTCTGACTATAACAACTAAAGGCAGCTGTCCACTGTCACCCAAAAACGAACAGAAAAAGGGGAAAAAAAAAAAAAAAAAAAGAAGGAGCAGGGG